ACCCCCCCCCCCCCTCCTTTGTGTTGGCTACGCCTCCGCCAGACTGTTTACATGCCGTCGACTGAGCCCGTGCCGGCGTGTCCGGAGTACTTGCTGCCGAGCGAGGAGTGGGAGCGGGAGGTGCTGTCCACCTTCGTCGACCTGCGGCAGGTACGATACGGACGAGGGATGTTGTTGTTGTCGCAGTTGTTCTTGTTCTTGTTGTTTATGGCGTTATTGTTGATGTTGTTCCTGTTGTCGGTTCTTGTTGTTGATGGCGTTGCTGCTGCTGCTGCTGCTGCTGCTGCTGCTGCTGCTGCTGCTGCCGCCGCTGCTGCTGTGTTGTTGTTTGCTGTGTGTCCTGTCGGCGTGCACCTCGTCGCTGTTGTGCTTGCTGCTGGTGTTGTTACGGGCGTTGTTGCTGTGCTGTTCATCTTCTTGTTATTGGTTGCTGTTTATGGCTGTCGGCTCAACGTACATGCAAGCGTGTTGCAGAATCCGCGTCACAGCTGTAAGCGAACTACTATTTCGAATGGTGTACGTCCTCTGTATCTCAACTGCAGAATAACAGCGAACACTGTCCCGAATTTTGTTGCGTTTTCTGCCATTTTCCCTCAGCTCGATAGATGTTTTTAGTTTACAACTTTCGATTTTGAAGTGCACAAACACGAGGGATCTTCTCGCGGGTCACGAGGCATGTTTTGGGAACGTCGGGGTGCCATCCTCTTTTATTTATTTGGGCTGGGAGAGGAAATAAACCAGCACGGCAGTCGAATAGTAGGGCCGAGGGAATTGGCCGGTCTTGTACGAGGCACCTGGCACGACGAAGGGTGCAAGACAACTCGAATGTTCCACATGCTGTGTTGCGCGATACCATGGGCCTCGTCATGTACAGGATCACTGGCCCTCTTCATGCGGCCTTATCAAGGGACGACCACTCTTGGTGCAAGGACCGCTACTGCTATCCTGCTGTATCTCAAGGGATGCATCCTTCCCCCGTCCCAAATCTGCTGCGTCGGTGCTGTGCTGTTACACCTTTCCCCGCCCCAAACCTGTTGCGCCTGTGCCGTGCTGTCGCTTGTGGCTGTTGTGCAGTACATGCGGCGTTGGAAGGCGACGGCGGCGGTAAGTTCGGCGGAAAGACAACCCGTGCCGGCGCTGAAGGACAGCACCGGCTGGCACATCTTCTGCCTCGGGTACGCGGATCAGGAGGAGGACGAGGATGAGGAGGTGGTGGAATCAGGTGCGGCGGTTGTCCGTACCGTATGGCTGTGCCGTTGACTGCGTTTTCGTGGGGGGCGGATTTTTGCCGAGGATGACGGTAAATATCGGGTTGTATCGTTTAAGGCGTAGAGATGGATGGCACCGGGTGCGGTTTGATACTTAGCTCTGTCTGTCGATCTGTGCGTGTGTCTATAGCCTTTTCAGCCATCTTGACTTGAACAACGTCGGTTTGTTTGTTGTTGGCTATTTTTTTCCCGCGAGTTCCCAAGAGTTGTGCCATAGATTTTGCACCCCATCCCCCCGCCATAACGACCATCATAGCTCGATTACTCCCACACCCAAATAGAGGATGCGAAAATCGACTGATAGGTGGGTCTGTGCAAGGAAAATTCTCGGCGAGTTCTTTCCGAAGCAACCCCTTTTCGGCAGTGGCGACCTCTCGGCTGTGGAGTAATCTAGCTATGGAAGCCTGCAACAACTCCAATGACAGCACGGCTCGTGTCACGATCTACACACCTTCTAATTGTACTACTAACTGACTACTAGTGATGCAGTCCTGTCCTTGCCGCCTCTATTCACTCGCGGTATCATCTTCTCCGCCCTCCGCTGCTTCCATACACCTTTGCATTCCCCCCCAAAAACACATGTGTTGGCTGCTGCTGCTGGCTGCCGATGCTGCTTTAACTGCTGGTGCTGCATGCCGCCGCTGCTTTGGCTGCTCCCCCACACACCCTGTGTCTTCCCGAACAACATATGCTTCTCCGGCTGCTGTTGCTGCTGCTACAACTGCTGCTGATGCTGCTGGTGCTACTGCTGCTTCAACTGCTGCGTCTACAACCGCTGCGTCTACAACTACTGCTGCTGCTGCAACTGCTACTGCAACTGCTGCTACCACTGCTGCTGTTGGCTGCTTTCATTTGTTCCCACTCCGGGTGGACGTGACGCGACGTAACGTCATCACCGCAGAGGCGGGGTCCACGTTTGCGAGCGGATCGGCCCTGTTGTTGCCTACCTCGGAGCACATCGACACGCAGCAGCAGCAGCAGCAGCAGCCCATCCCCCCCCAGGCCTCCGTCACCGCCACCACTTCCGCAGCAGCCGTGAGCGGCGGCGGCGGCTCGAGGGATCCCCGTAGGGACGATGACGCCCAGAGCACGTACTGCACGGCACCAGTCGAGAGCAGCGCCATGTGAGTGCGTGTATGTCTGAGTGTGTGTGTGTTTTTTATGTTAGCATCGACCGCGGTTACCGGCTGACCAATGAAAACACGCCAGTCTTAGTGCGGTTGAAAACATAATAAACGCTGCTTCATGCCATTAAGTGGGGCTGAGTGTGTTTCTTTTTTACGTATTTTTGCGATCGACGGCGCTAACCGCTGCTGTGTGCGTCTAGTCTGTTGTCATGACCGACCGCGCTATCCACTGTGTGTGTCGGTGTGTGTTTTGTCTGTTGTTATCGACGGCGCTAACCACTGTGTGTTTGGGTGGGCGTGTGGTTTTTTTGTATTCCTATGATCGACCGCGCTAACCAACTGCTGTGTCTTTTTTTAGTGTGTTTTTTGTCTATTGTCATGATCAGCCGCGCTAATCACAGCTGTGTATGTTTGAGGTGTGTTCATTTTTTAGCGTCGACCGTGCTAACCGGCTAGCCAATCAAAAGACGTGGGTCTTCTTGAGGGATAATAGAAAACAACAAAATTAAAGGGTTTTACCGACGGGGGGAGGGGGTGTTTTTTTTTTGTTGGCATCGACCTCGTTAACCGCTCCTGTGTGTCTAAGGGTATGCGTGTGCGTGTGTATTTTTCGTCGACCGCGCTAACCGGCTGGCCAATGACTCTACGCCAGTCTCAGTGCGGCTGGAAATGCTTGTTGAAGGCATTGAGAATGCTTGAAGGCATTGATCTGGGACGCCGTCAGGGAGGGGTCATGTTTGCATGGACTGATAAAACTGCCGTTAGTTTGTTTGTGTTGTGCTGGTGCTAGTGCAGGGTCCTCTTCGAGAGAAGCGACATGTTGGTGGATGTTTCCCTTTTTTTTGTGGTTTCTTGCATCGACGGCGCTAACTACTTTGTTTTTTGTGTTGTTTCTTCGAGTAGCATGGACCGCGCGTATCGGCCGTCTTATGTATGCGTTTGTGTATTTTGCATCGATCGCGCGAACTGCTATCCTTGTGTGTGTGCTTGTGTTGCTGCTACATACTGCCGTCTAATTTGTCAGGTTCGACATGTTCTCGGCCACTCTCGGGAAAGCAACCGCAGAGGAGGACGGGGAACAGGGACGGGACGGCAAACCTCGATCCCCCTCCTCGGCGACAACGGCAACGGCGGCACTAACAGCGGTATCCGCATCCACGACGGCTTCGGGTGGCGCGCAGACTGGACAAGCGGAGAGGCGCACCGGGAGGGAGTGGCTGCGGACGCATCCCCACGGAACCCCCCCTACGATGCGACTAGCCATGCAGTTCGATCAGGTGTGTGTATGTGCTGTGCTGTGCTGTGCTGTGCTATGCTGTGCTATGCTGGTCTGGTGGTGGCGTATAGCGGCTAGTTTGGGTGAGAGGAAGGATAGCCGGCCAGCAAGCAACCAGCGGGATTGCACTCACTTTCAGAAGAGCAGTTCTCCTGTTTCGCGAGACCGTAGAGTGAGGCTGTGTTGATGGTTCGGGACTCAAACCCATCGATTTCGATCGCGTTTATAGCTCAAGACTATGCTTTGATCAAGTGCTCCTACTGGAACTCTGTTACGACCCCCCCCCCCCCCC